GAAAGGTACCTATTTTGTGAAAATTTAGACATTATTTATGAAAATTAAAAATTTTAACACAAAAATATGGATTTGTCGTCTCTTACGAGACATAAAAATAAAATTTTAAGAAAAAGTATTTCGTGAATTTTCCTAAAGTTGAATTTGCGAAGGTACCGCTAAACGGTAGTAAATTTAGCTTGGACAAACCCCTGATTATGAAAAGAGCTTTCTTTAAATATATTTTTTGGGCAATTAAAATTTAATAGTGTGGAGCAAAAAAGTAAAAACATTTGAAGAGAAAATTAGTAAAAATAAATCAAAATAATTTGATAAATGAGCCCTGAATTTGACAAGTGAGCTAGAAAATTAGTTATAATAATTAATATTGCAGCAAGTGTTATGACGTAAATGAAATTTATATATATATATATAAATGGTAAATGAAAAGTTAAAAAGTTACTTCTCAATTACAAAGCCATATAAATTTCAACACACTCAAAACATTTATTCTCTTACATTTTGATTATTTAAATAAAATATACACATAAAATAAATAATACAGCAACATTTAAAACGAAGGCTTTGGAGCAGGAGGGGGGGAGCTTTTATGCAAATAACTTTTAATGACAAGGCCATAACGAACCATTGATAATAAGAAAATATTGCATATACTAGAACTTTTTTTTTCACATCACAATGAGAGTTTACTTACCACAGCCTCTTAAACTATCAAAATATTGCAATTCACAAGATTTTTTTTTAATACTTAATATTTACAATGAAGGTATCGATTTCTTTTTTAATTGAAAAATATCTTCAAAATAAATACAAAGCATCAGCTTTAAAAACTAGACACAGCTGCAAAAAAACAAACAAAAAAAACTGTTTAATTTTATTTATGGGTTCAGTGATCATAAAATGCACTGATATTTATTTATCACTGAAAAAGCAAAAAAGTAAAAGAATAGTTCTATTTTTTTAAAAAAAATATTAAGGGGAAGTTACAAGCAAATTACTTTTTTAAGATGAAATTGATACTGCAACTATTCAAGAATATTAACCCTAAATAATGACATAACAGAAAAAAAACTTATGGTAGAGCCATTTTAAAAAAAAATAATGCGACATAAAATAAATTTGCATGCTGCAACAGCATCTGTATATCAAATTTAAATATTTTTTTTAAAACAAAAACTTATCAGACAGATATTTATTTTTAATGTAGGAAATTAATAAACTATCGTTAATGAACTTAAAAGAACAAAAAAAACCCTGCTTTTTATGATCTGAATCTAGTTTTTTTCAGCAAAAATATTCTTAACTTTCATCAAGGTAATTATTTTATAAATAGAAAGAAAATCATTTTTCTCATTGTTTTTGATAACAGTCTAATTGATTATACCCACATCAGTAGCAATTCAAAAACTTTCTTTTTAAAAGAAAATGTTTCATTTGACTTATGAATTTCCTCCTTTTAAAATGGAAAAGTTTAAATAAATTCTAGACACGCATTTAAAGCATGCATTCATTATTTAAATCATAATGCATTTATTTACTCAAACTAATACTAAATGGTTTCTTAGAGTCTGGTTATTTGATTAAATTATTAAATGAATACTAATATTTTCAATTATATTTAATTTTTTATGAATGTTGACATTCAAAAGGATTAAATTATTAAATCAAATGACGTACTAGTATTATGACGTATTTATTATGACGTACTAGTATTTTATTTATAAAATAAGTTTATTTTTATATTTTATGTGTGTATGGACATTCAAAGGGATTAAATTACTAAATGAATACGACTATTTTTAATTAAATTTCATTTCTTTTTTGTGAATGTGATAAGATAAAAACTCAAATGAATCATGATGATGCAGAAACTTAAATTAATGAGGCTGATTTACGGAAGTAAAATTTGGGTGACATTACATAAGAAATAAAATTTAAAAAAACTTTTACAAACTGTATTTTTAAAAATCTGTAAGACAAATCAGTAATGTACTAAATTTTTAAAGAATTTTAAGGAGCAAAAACATTGTCGCACAGATATAGATAATTAAATCTATTCCTCTTTTTCTTAAAAGTGAAAATGCTTGTTTAATGTAATATTTTAATTTTAAAAATTTTAACAGAGAAAATAAATAATTGATAACCTAATTATATTTATCTACATAAGAAAAGTACAATATATTTTTTTCAATAAATGTGACATAATTGTGCAATTTTTTCTTACTTAATTAAAAGTTACATTTAATTCATTACATAACAATAGTCATAAATTTCTTGTTACACTGTAACATTTCTGTTATATTTAAATCATCACTCAAAAAACCAAAATCACAATTAAATTGATTGAAAATAAAAATTTTAATGTTATTAAAGTGGAACTCAAAAGCCTTCAATGCAGACACAAAGTGCTTTTAAACATATTTCTGCATAAAAACTATCTTTCAAACTATATACACATAAACTATACACAAAAAAAATTTTCAATACAATCTGAATAATTTACCAGAAATATTTTCCTTCGTTATAAGAAGCATGGACAACAGACTAGTTTGAAAAAGCAAATCTTTGAATGAACCATCACTTTTTTTCACCTCAATTTGTAAGTATGGAGACAAAGTTTCATAAGGCAACATATTCAATTCTATAGTATATAAATATTCATTTTTGTATCTTTCGCACTTCTAAGAACATAAAGCAAGAAATAAGAGAATTTCTCACAACACTGAACAAGTCTAAAAACAGGTCACACACACATATATATATTAAGAAATCTACAATAAATCCCCGGTTTGCAAATTTCTTAATTATTAGTGGATAAAGTTATGAACAAAATTTTTAGAAAAGATCCTATTTCAGTCTTATTTAACTGTACAATAATTTATTCTGACACGTCTTAAAATTTGGAGGTATCGTTGGATGAAGTATTAAATTATTATCTTTAAGTGTTTGCATAGACATGGTATCTGCTACATTTTAGATTTTCAAATCCATGACTAATTCAAGAATTTTTCATGACTTAACAAAATTACTATTTTCTCTGATAAAAACACAATAAATTTAAAAAAGCATTATAATAACATTAATTGAAACCATAAGTATAAGTTTATTAAATAACCAGAATTTTTCATGACTTACTATGAAGTTACTATTTTCTCCGACAAAACACAATAAATTAAAAAAAGCATTATAATAACAGAAATTGAAATTATAGGTATAACCAAAACTGTTATACTCTGTATCTTCATATTTATAGATTTTAAATTTAAAAAACAAAGCAAAGAAAGAGTTGAAGCAATAAAATAGCTGAAAAAATACAAAAGAAAATACTTTTCTTTCTTTCTTTTTTTTCTGCAGAATTATATTCTAAAGATACTTTTCTTGTTTATCAGAAAGGAAAGAAAGATTCCTGATTTTTCTGTTCTCATTTCTGAATTTTAAAAAAATTCGCCAATGACTGGCTTGCTTCAGCTACAATTTTAAATTGATAAAATAAAAATAATAATAAAAATTCTGAAATCACAGAAGTTTAAAAGATAATTCGCTCTAGAAATGATGCTTTTCCGTTNGAAATAATATAAATTTCATGATAATTGCTGCATAATGTTCTAAATATTTTACACATAGGGAATTTAAGGGATTTTTATAGTTATCAAAATAGAAAAATTGCAATATTTTCCAGTTATGATTGACATTAAACATTCTTGAAATGTTATGTGTTATGTATACTCATAACTTCGTATATTAAAAGGCATTTTATTTATAAATGATAGTAAAAAGATTTTTTTTAGTTAATTTAAAAAGGGAGTTCTGAATAAAAATAAAATTAACATCTTATAAAAAAAAAAAGTTTTGATTTCTATAAATGAGGTTTGCTTAATTATGTATTGGTAATACTTATTTAAATATTCTAGTAAGTACAAAAATTCTATTTTAATAGGGATTTTTTTTAGGAAACTTACTCCATTTTAGGGACTTTTATAAAATGTAAAAAAACAAGAAGTTTAATTAGACCAGGCGAAACTGAAAAAATCCAGTAGTGAACTGGAAAATCCAGGAGAGTTGGCAGCTATGTGCTAGTGTTAAATTCATAATGCTTGCAGACATCACAATTTAATATGAAGTTTTAGTTATGAAATCTAAGTTTTCTGATCAGTGAATGGTCTTTCAAATTCTTATAAAAATATCAACAAAGTTTTGAAAATAATTCATTTAACAACACAATCTGAAATCTCAAATAAATAAACGTAAAACCTTCATACAATTTGATGCACATTTGCATTATGCTTTATACTGTCAAACAGAATAGCTTTTCCTTTTCGATAATAGCATTTTTATGCGCAAAATACCATGGGACTTTTTAAGATAATTTAAGTAATTTTTTTTTATCATAATGAAGAAAACCTGTTTTTTATTTTTTCTCCCTAGAGCATTTCAGTCTTTACTTTAAAAATTTTATTAGTAATAGATACTAAAAAAAAATAACTAATTAAAATGAAAAATCAAACCTGACCTAAAATGATGAAAAATAGAAAAGTATTAAGAATTACCCATAAAATATTATTTAATAAATAATTTAGCATGCAAAAAAAAAACTACTAAATTTGACAGTAAGCCCATACATTTTAATAAAATTAAGAAGAAAAAAGAAAGAAAAGTCAGTATTATTTGTTATTTTGCTTAATTCCATTTACTGTAAATTAATATTTTATTTGACTAGAAATAGAAAACTAAACAATAATGCTAGAATAAGAGAAGAAAAGTTGAAATTTTTGATCAATACATAAAAAATGTATAGTTTACTAAAAAGAATTGCCCTTTTCAAAATAATATATGAATAAAAGCAAATTTAAGTTGACAGAATGTTCAATTTTAAAAAAATCAGGCCTTCCCCCCCCCCTTCTAATGTTGTATCTCACTACTCATGCCAATTCAATGGGTTGATTTGAATTTTGATATAAATTGGAGCACATGTACATTTTTCACTCTTTTTTCTTTATAAAGAGTTATATATATGTATAGAGTTATATTTGGTTGGTTATATTTGGCTAAGGTTAGTAAACTACCTCATGCCTTCCATTAGTTTAACATAGATAAAAAAAACTTTGTTACTATCCATTGAATTTCAAATGCAGCCTTCCCCCGCTTTCTTGCTGAGATGGGCTGATTTGGTGGAGTTTGATTTTCTTTCAATTAAGAAAAAGAATTGGCGGCAGTCGTTGTCCAGAAATATTTAGGGGAAGGCATTGGCCCACATTGGGCTGCCTGGCTAACTATGATGATGAGGATGACTTAACACTGAATGACACAGAGAGTAAAAGCCAATGGTTTTCTTAGCATGCTTTAGGAGAAGACAGGCTTAAGACTGACACTGTGACGTTGCAAAAAGGTTTATATGCCAACAAAAGCTCGTTGGGGAAATCACAAATTATTGAATGATTATAAAATAGTAGAGGACAAAAGAAAAAAACAGCAGGATAGTCAACTTAGTTTATCAGTAAAACAATCTTAAAATTGGCTACTTAACATAGGCTAAATAGGATGACTCAACTTTTATTAAGCTTTAATTACAAATTAAATATGATCATAGGAACCCAAGTTTTGGTGAGAACTGATCAGTGATAGTTTGTCTATGGCAAGAACTTCTCCAGCCACAACGTCTAAGATGGCTGCTGCTATGGAGACAAGAATAGCAGATTTCAGGGAGGGTAGCTTGTCTTTACTCTAGGGCAGTGTTTCCCATACTTGACTTTTGTGTACCCTCTCTAAATTTTTCGTAACGCTGTGTGCCATTAATAAAAAAATGAATAGATTTTTTATTAAAAATTTTAAAAAATTGCACAAAAGTTAATTCACAACTAGCTGTTGACACCATTAATTATTAACTGTTAACTTTGCAAAAAATAGCCAATTGAAAAATATGTAATTTTAAATTTTCATGGCTAGCTTTGTTTTTATATAAAAAAATTTTGAAATTTTTTTTGTTGAAAGATATTTTGCATAAGAATGCGTACCCCCAGCTAAACTGTTCTCGTACCCCTGGGGGTATGAGTACCACACTTTGGGAAACACTGCTCTAGAGCTAACACAATAGACCAAAAAAAATTATTCCATTGCCGATCCAGGCCACAACCTGTCCTAAGCAATGAACCCACACTCCAACTTGAAATAGTTATGTCTCGTTACCATACTCACCGCCACGGTTCGAGGCCAATAGCTAGGGGAGTTCTTACATTAGACAAACTATAGAAACTAATAAGAAAAGGAGAGAAAAAACATCATAGAAGGTTGGAAGGGCTATACACAACTAATTATGCACAGATGCCTATTAATTTTATCCTTACAATTTGTTCTCTTCTGTTATATTTTATTTTACTTTCTTATCTTGCATTACTCTATACAGTTTTGGCAATAAATAAAAAAAGGTTGTGATAAAAAGATAATCGATAAGTGCCAAATTATTTCATTCTAAGAAAATTGATTTTGATTATTTGTATCATCCTTCGCAGTGAGTATGCCAGATTATCAGGAGTGAAACAAGCCATTATGTAATGTGTGGTTTTATTGAAATATAAATGCTTTTTAATTCACAAATTTAAAGTTTAGATTCTTTTATCATAGTAAATATTTCCCAATTAATCAGCTGTAACAAATGAACCATATAAAAATTGGTTTCCAACTTGCACAGAAATTCCAATAGACTATAGATGAATTTTAAAAAAAGAATTGGTCATACAACAAGCATCCCTTACAATAAATAAGAACTTTAAATAGCAAAAGGTTAAATGGAACAACTATTTATGCGTTATATTATAAATGACAATTGATATTTAAACTGTTCTTTAATAGAAGTGCACCTATTAATAAAATATTTAAATACAAAACCAATGGAATATGTGAATATTTAAACTTTTTACATCATGCAAAAGAACTAGATCGTTGCTTACAAATCAAAAAATGATTTGGCAAATATATATATTTTATTTGCATACATATTTAACTAGAATTTTCAATGTATTGATTAGCAGAATCGATTATTACAGAAGAATGGAGAAATTCCTGCTCCAAAAATGTGAGTGTTCGCTGCAATCGACCAGCAAATTACAGCTCCAACGAGAGTGACCACATTCATTTCATTTGAGGTGAATAAAAAAATTTGTCGTCTGAATTTCAATGCAAGCAACAAACAACAGTGTCTTTCAACAATTTTGAGCAAAATATATTCTGCGTCTTTACAGAGTCGTTGTTATTGTTGCATTCTTCCAAGATAAGTTTTGACTAGTTAAAAAAATTTATTATTTTTTTTTTCTTACTCATACTTCAGCAAAAGCTCATTTTCGTTTGGTAACAAACTCGTGTAAAATGTCCCTGGCCATTTGAAGGTCGTTCCTCGCGATTCCAAGAGCTCTGATTACTTCATTTTGAGCATAGCCTTCGGCAATGAGGGCCGCTATGTGATCCATGTGCAAATTTTCATAACTCACACGGTTTTCCTTGTTTTCGAGAGCATCCAAAGGTTTGCCGATTCTTATTAACCTACATTAAAAAAAATTTAACAAAATTAAGAGAGAGAAAAATGAAACAGATAAAAAATATAGATAAAAGAGGTTTTGAAGATGTAAACATTTTAAATATTAGAATTCAATTAGTCTGAAATACTAAAAAAAGCACGAAGATCAAATCAAAAAGAAATTTAATACACTAACGACAGGGTTCCCACTCAATTTCCGAAAAGAAAAAAAATTCCTTGACTTTTCCAAGTATACCATGTAAATTTCAATGAAAATTGAGACCCTATTTTCATCAGAAAACTTAAGATTCTTTTATTTGTAATGTGAAATATTAGATTTTCCGTGTACAAAAATACAGTAGAGCGCCGATTATCCGAACCCTTATTATCCGAACGTCCAATTATCCGAAATGTGTCCGAATTTTTTTTTTTTTTCAAAGTTTAGAATACTTTTTAACTTATCAACAATTTTTCTTAATTTCTGAAAAATTAGATCATTCGGATGAAAAGATGCCAGGTTATGCAGCAGATGAAATAGAAGACTGGTGTCGAGACACTGAAAATGTCCAGGTATTTCAAAATGATGATGAAATAGTTGCTAAAATTATGAATGAAAATCGGAACTCCACAGATGAAGAGGAAGACGTAGGTGATCAAGTTCAAAATAGTGGACCTTCTCATATAGAAGCATGCAATTGATTCGATATTGCAATGAATTGAATAGAACGCCAAAATGATGTTGATCCAGTTCAGTTGATTTATTTAAAAGAATAAGGGATATGGCTGCTCAAAAAAGAGCATCCTCTTTGAAACAAAAGTCTTTGCTGGATTTCTTTTGTAATGAAAATAAAGAAAAATGTGGTTAAATCAGTAATTGACAAAAAATAATTTAAAAAGTTGAAATATGATTAAAAAAATTCAAAATGAAAAAAAAAGTTTTAGAAAAAATAAATAAAAATATTTAAAATTTGAAATTTTTTTTGAGAATTTTTTTTTTTTTGATATTAAAACAGAGCTATTTTAGATAGTACTGCCAGTCCTAAACCTGGAAAAAGTGTGAAGGCAAGTTAGTGTATAAATAATGATAATTTAAACTAGATTTTATACAACCTTCTAATAATCCGAACTTTTCATTATCCGAACGACGTTCGGTCCCGAGCAGTTCGGATAATCGGCGCTCTACTGTATTACTAAATGAGGAATTGAACATTTCAGTTTGACTAAAATTTGACATTTTTACAACAAATAATTGCAATTGATGTTAGAATTATTTAACTCGAATCGCAATAACTGATGATTGTTACTGACAATTTTAAGACTGGTTATTTTGTAGGTATGATAAAGGAATATTCCAGATTTTTAGAGTTAAAATAAAATTCCCTGACAATTTCAGGTTTTCCCTTACCTGTGGGAACCATGAAATAGATCTATAAAAAACATTTCTATGAATCACAATTCTCCATAAACCACATTAACTTTTACTACCACTAAAGTAAAGCAAAATTCATAAATTTGTCAGTTTTTAATTCTAATGTTCTCAATTCCTCCCTCCCTGAAAATAAAAAATATTCAAGAGATTATTGTGTTATAGTTTACTTAAAAATTATTTCAAAGCATTAATATCAATCTGCTTCAGAAGTTCAATGTGATGTGAAATGATCTACACTGGTGTAAGAAATTAAGAGAATTTGGAGACTTGGTTGACATCCAATAAAAGACAACTAAGTGAAGCTATAATTGATTCAAACTAATAAGNTGTATTTAAGTGAAAATTAATATATTCTACAAGCACACAAAGTTGAAAAACATGAAACTTTCAAAAAATTTCCATACTTTTGACCACCACTGTATATGTATAAAAGAAATACCTTTTTTCAATTTTGTTGATGTGAGTAGGAGGCTGTTGAGGAGAAGATGAAGATGGTACTTCAATTCCTGACCTAGGATTTTGTGAACTAGCTACAAAATGATTAATCTTGATTAAACACATGATCTATGAATATATATATATATATGTTACTGTGAATGACCGAAATTGGTGGTAGTTGACAATTACATAGTCGCTTTGGTAAATGTCTGAAATACATGCTAGGTCTAGTTAAGCGCCACTGCCCGGTAAGCCATACATCAATGTTTTATTACCCAAATCAAAATTCTTGATGGTCCCATCAAAAAATTTTGATGGTTTAGGTTGGTTTCAGTGCGATTCAGGATAGTCACCATGATCCAACATTTTCCATTATGTGTTCATGGTTTTTGATATGCCAACAAACTTCCATCATTCCATGATGGAAAAATGCTACTTTAATACTATGATGGATGATCAAGAGAAGTTTGATTCTCATGGACCAACAATCTGTGATGGTTACAACTATACACTTCCATGACGGTTCAATAGGAATTCTTGTTGGTTCACAGGAATATACCATCAAAACAATTTTTTTATTTTAAATATTTGACCATCATAGATCAGTTCGAATTCCTACATTGGGACGATGGTTATTCATGATCGTTCCAATTAAATTCTAATATACTACGGAAATTTGTGATGGTCCATAATGCATTTTATGATGGTTCAATAATATTTATTGTTGGTTCAGCAGGAATATACCATCAAAACAATTAGGGTTTTTTTAATGCTGGACCATCCTTAATCTGTCTGAATTTCTGCATTGAGGTGATGGTGGTTCATGATCGTTTCAACATTTGATATCTAAGAAACTATGAGGGAAATTTCTGATGGTTGAACATAAACAAACCATGAAAACAAGTATCGATTCTCATGTTAGACCCTCATAAATCAGTCAGAATGCCTGATGGTTACTTATGTTGTTTACCATCAAAAAATATAATGGTTTATGATAGAAATATTGATGGTTGCCATCAAGATTATGATGGCCCATCAATGGAAAACCATCACAAATTTTGACTCTGGTAAGGTCAAGTGTCATTGCCCGGTATGCATTTAACCGGTACTCTGAACGCTAATGTTTCTCCTAATCTATCCACAGCAGATATTAAAATATCGAATAAATACAATATCAACAAATAAATTAATACCAAATCAGATATAACAAATATTTCGGACATTCAAAGCGACTATGTGATTGTTGACATTCACCGGTGAAAGTCGAAATTTTCTTGATTTTGGTCATTCACTTTAACTTAACATATATACATTTTTGCCTACATTAAAAGTGATCATTATTTATAAGCATAATTACAAGATAGTTTTTTTTCTCAATAACAAAATATTTAAAAGTGAAAGCCTATAACAAATAATTATAAATAAAAGATAAATAAAAAAATATATATATTTAATCTTTATTATAATTAAAAACAAATATTGTTTCCAAAACTTGCTTAATATTACGCAAAATGGAAGAAAATCGTAATAATTATAAGTATAGAAGTTCTGTTAAACTAGCATGGCCTTTATTGTAAAAATGAAAATTGTTAGAGAATATGCATTAATTTTCCTGTCCTTGTTTTCTATTAATTTGATATGCATAGAGTTTTAAATAGAAAATATTAGTCAAATATTAGTTCTATATAAAAAGAAAAATTAGAAGTTCTTTTAAATGAAGGTATTTTGTAAAAATTCCCTGCTTTCGAATTTTCGAAGAAGATACAATGTTTTTGATGTACTTATTTTAAGCCAATTACCGTCCCAACTTAGTTTCAAGATGACTTTCTAGGGACGTAATGATTTCTTTTTTAAAAAAAACATGAATAAATATTATTTTTTATATAAAAATAAGTTAAGTCAATACTAAAAATAACCAAAACTTAGGTATATTATTGGTATGGATGAAGAAAAAAAAATAGAATAGTTGTGAAAACTTTGAATAGTGAAAACCACACTTTAGCATAATACGTGATGAAAATTGACATAGCAAAGAAAAAAATCTCAGTTTCGAAAAGGGAAAATTAAGAATTTTTTAAAAACGCCCAATGAAAAAAGCAGCTTTAAGGGCTTTTAAAAAACAAAAGTAAAAAAAAGGCACCTTTAAGCTCTTTTTTAAAATGCTACGCTTCATGATTTTAATATGTAAAACTCAAAGAAACAGCATTAATTTGATATAAGAAAGAAAAATAACACAGAGACAACATTATTTGTTAATATTACATACTATCAGAAAAAAATATGTACTCAACCAAGCTAAAAGTCAAAATAAAATAATAAGTTAAGGAAAAACATAAAAGGGATAAATAGGGTTAATATGATCTATTACCAGGAAATGAGGAAAAAACATAGGGAAAAATATTTAAAAAAAATTCTCTATAGAGAAAAACATGAAAAGAAGGAAACATAACAAAATTTCTCACATTTCAACAGGACCTAGGATTCACGAATGGATGAAAAATTATTTGTCTTTAATCACTTACAATGTAGGGAGATAACTTTTTGTGAAAACATTTCTAGGAGATCTTAAAAACTGTCTTTGTAAAAAATAAACATTAATTCATAACTGTCCACATTGGAGAAATAAAATAACAGAGATTTTACTAGGAAAACTTTTTAGGCTACGAATAAAGTTTTGATACATCGTGCAAGTCAAAAACAGAAATTCAAAATTGGAAATAATATAAGCACTTTCATTTAGCAAAGTAAAAAAATATGTATATAAATCTTAAACTAAAGAAGATTTTTTTAAACCATTATTTATAATTACTTGAATTATTAACACTTAACATCAGTACTGGCAATAAGCACCATCTGCTGAGGAATAAGGGAAGTATTTTTGCCATCAGCGACTATTTTATCGCCATTTTTTTTAAAAATTTCTTCAACAAATACAAAATTTGAGAATATACGGGTAAACAGTAGATAGTCGTAAAATACAGCAGTCCTCATTAAAAAAACAGTAGACTTGGCGGGTATATTAATTAGTCAGTAGTCTTATGAGGAATAACAAAAATAAATAGATTACATTCACTAATATATCAATGACATTCATATATACCATTATTTAAAGTGATATCCGTATTTGCATAGCTTGGTTCAGGCATTTCTTCCCTAATTTGTGCTAATTCAGCATAGTGTACTGATGGACTGACTGGAATCATGGAAGGTGGATCGACCATAGACGAGGGGGGAGATAGGGTGGTTGGTGGCCCACCACCGGATGAAGGGCGTGGCCACGTTCCGCTACTAGATGTTTTTCCATGAGCTATTTCAGAATATGAAATACCTACCCCTAAAATAAAAGTATGTTCTTAAAATTTCTCTGCAACATGTTTTTATACTTCTTTAGAATATGCCAACTACTTAAGATTTGACAGAGACAATGCAGCAAGTTCTATTAGCACTGCTTTACGAATTGTAGTCTCTATAAGCACTACTTTACATATTATAGTAACTGGGTAGCGACAGAAAAAAAAAGACAAAATAGTTGCTTTTAGTAGCCTAAAGCATGAAAATAGTTGCCGAAATAAGAACAAAAATTCATCAAAAAAAAGTCTCCCAATAGTTCCTTTTTTTGGCCTTTTCAAGCATAAGAAGTTGCCATAGTCGCCTCATGCCAAAACATTTCAGTTGCCTGGGGCAATCCTGTAGTAATTTTTTGCTGTTTTGCCAATATATTAATTAATTATTAATTGTATTGCTGTAATAATTTGTTTACATTGCAATTCATCATTTACAATTAATATTTATTGTATATATAGTAATTTATCATATTCATCTTCAGTTAGATTTCAGAGAGTGATTCCGCTAGACTTTAGAGACTACGAGTTTTAGGATCTATGATTTCCAAATTTTCAAGCCCTTTTTTCCCTATAAGTGGGTCGCAATTCAAAAAAATATATAAATCTCCAATTTATAATACATAAGAAGTTAATATTTCATGATTAAGTAAAAAACGCAATAAGTAGTTGATTCAGTAATAATTGAACAAATAATTAATACATGAATTATCCTTAAAAGATCAAAATTAAGTGATCTTTTTAAAAGCCAATAAGACACATGACATTCCTTTTGATAAGTACTAATTCACTGCGCTTATTAAATCATTTAGAATAACATTTGCTAAAGGTACGATAAAAAAGAAAAATATTACCAAAAACTGAATGCATGAAAGATGATTGAAGTCCCAAGATAATTAAAAAAAAATTATCAGTGACATTAAACAGTTGTGATAACTTTTTATCCCTAATTAATATCTGCATTTAAAAAGTTCAATCTATTGATAGACCAAAACAAAGAATTTCAAAATATGAGAAGAGTTATTTCTTAAATCAAAGTTTTTAATTAGGACAGATTCAAAAATTGAATCGAGAAAAAGCTTCATTTGAAACTGAGTATTCAGGGGTCTGTTCATGGTAAAATTTATTACCGTTTAGGAAAAATGGTAGTTTAACAAATACTTTTATAAAATCAAGTTCTCATGCAAACCCTATTATCCTTGCAGACTATGGAAAAGAGGAGCTTTTCTACCAGCTGTCTTTTACGAAAAGGTAGCACATGTTTGGTCAGATAGTGCAATGTGGTAAACGTAACCGGTCGCTTACGCTAGATCAAAGCAAGATATTTTTCGCAGTTTTTTTTAAACATGAAACGACAAGGCCCTTCCTCTATAAACTTTACAGAAACTCAAAATTCAAACATTTTAACATTTCTTAAACACTATTGTAAATTTATTCTAACAGACCTTTATTTTTTTGAAATTTTTTTTTTCTGTAAGACCTAGTCGAAAATTTTCTCATAAAGAAAATAACTTTTAGTGCTAGTACTGTCAAACGAATGGTTTTATTAAATTCAATTTGAAATTTAACTATGGACAAATAGTTTTATGGATTTTTAAATTTGGATATAATTTTAAGCCCAAAAGACCTAAGCAAGGTTTTCTTTAATTAAAACATGTTACATTAAGACAATAGCTTATTGTTATAGAATTTTATACACACAAAAAACTTACTTAAACTAACCTTTAATAAAAAAATCTTATGAAAAAAATTTAAAACCCTCAGATTTTTATCCTAAAAAACGCACACACAAAATCTAGAAGAACATACATACAGAAATTTAAAAATTAAGATTTAAAATGTGTTTACATTAACAACTAAAAATTTCTTCATAAAACTATAAGAATCAATCATAATAAATTAACAATTCTTACCTGAAGATTCAGGGGATGCAGAGGGGCTGACAGTAACAGTAACAGAACCACCTGAGTCATCTTTAGAACCACAAGAATGGCTGATAGGAATGAAATAAATCATTTATTTTAATTTTAAGAGGAAAATAAGACCTTTCAATAAGATGTTTATTAAACTGATATAAGTAATGAAATATAACACATTCAATCATGCTAAATAATAAGTAACACAAAAATGCTTTTTTTTCTTTTAATAAAATGTTTCATTTATAAAGGTTTATATTAAAAGAATTAAAACTAAAAAGTTGAATTAGAAATATGCACGAGAGTTTTCTTAACCATGTCATGTGAAATTCAGTCCTATTTCAAGTAAATAAAGGCCCTACTAATATCTAAGCACCTTAAATTGTTCTACTTTTTCTTCATTAGGCTTAATTTAAAATTTTTATAGAATAAAAATACAATTATGCTTTAGAAGATTTATATATTATAATAGATGTTTTATTGTAGATTATTATTATTATAGATGTTTTATACATTAGTTCCCAGTGAAACATATAAATAAAATGGTCTAAAACAATTTTTCAAAGTTATCGACATATTCCTATGGCCAGTAAATTGGTAAATTTTGTAAATTAACAAATACCGATAAATTCTTTTTTTTTAAAAATTATTTTAATTTGTAATATCTCTTTACCATTCTTTCATAATATTATTCGCTAGTATTATTATGATTTGATATTTTATTTTTATCGCAAATTAAGAGTTTAAAACTGAAAGTGGTATTCTAATTCTTTTTCTAATCTTACAATATAACCTTATCATTTATAAAAGAAATATTGAAAAATTTTATGAAAAGCATATTGAAAATGGCATGTAACTTAACCATTTTGATATTATTACTTAGCAAATGTGTTATGTTTACTTTTATGATGAGCTTTACATAAAATTATTTCAAGCTAAAACTGTATTAGGATTTAACTTTATTTATTTATTGTATTACATTTTCACCATATTATCAACGAAGTTGGTAAAAAACATGAACTAATTTTAAAGCACCCAAAAATTGAAATAAAATTAGTAAAAAAAAAATTTGGGGATCTTTTAATTGAGCAGATTTAAATTTTTCTGTAACAATCTATTTATCCTTAAGAAATAAAAATAATAATGCAACAATCCTTAAAAAAATTGTTACATCGCAACAAAATGTGCTATAAATAGTTATCGAATATCTAACTTTCTTGTTAGAAGCAAATCATACATTCTTATTTGATACGTAAGAATAAAAAAAAAATTCAGAAAAAACCTGGAGTTTTCACCAAGCAAATCATACATTCTTATTTGATACGTAAGAATAAAAAAAAAAATTCAGGAAAAACCTGGACTTTTCACCAAAAACCCCAGGTTTTTGATGAAAAACCTAGGTGGGCTGTGTTTTTTCAAACCCTATTTCAGGGACTGCAGCCAAAATTTTTAGAAAATAGTAAGGAAAACAGGAGTACTAAAAATAATAATAATAAATAAATAAAATAAAAAAAATAGGAAAAAATAGAAGTGTTGAAAAACAGATTAAAAATTTACTTTAAAGTAACTTATTAAATTTTCATAAATATTGATTTAAATCATAAATAATATCTACTGCCTAACATAGCCAATAAGTATTTCAAAAAGAGTAATTAAAAATAAAATTGCTGAAAAGATCAAAAATTCTCTAAATAAGACAGATATATAACTTTCATTGAAGCTTTAACAATATATTTATATAAAATTAAGCAAAGAAAATTTATCAAAAATTTGTTTCTGCCAAATTTTACATTTTATAAATAAAATATTCTCATATTACTAACTATTATTTTATAAATTAAAAAATACATTAATATCATATATAATTTTCTTAAGAAAAAACTATTTTAGCAAAGAAATTTTCCTTTATGTTAAAAAAAATAGATATTATTTAATGTTCTATCATTTATTGAATTTTACACTTATTATAAATTTACAGTGAAATTATTTACAATTATTATTAACCCTGCAGTAGAATTTTTTCTAGTTTTTGCAAGATACTTTTAATAACAGATATACAAATTACTAATTTAAAGTAATAGAAACATAGTGTCTATGAAGAAAAAAAAACCTATTTGGATAAAATAAAATTGTATATAATTTTTTCAAATTTAGAGTCACTTATTTGAAATATTATACAAGTTTATTTAATTCTTCCTAGACCATAGCATGAAACCTCTATTTATTCCAAATATTGCAAACCTGCCAACATTGGTGAAATAAAATAACGGGGACTTTACTAGTGAAATTTTTTTGGCTATGAGAAAAGTTTTGATACATCATGCATAATCATGTAAGCCAAAATTGGAAATAATATAAGCACTAACATTTAATTAACAAAATAAAATATATATATAAATCTTAATCTTACTAAGATTTTTTTAAACCATTATTTATTACCATTATACATTATATATATTATTTTTTTTAAACCATTATTATATTACTTAAACAATAAACATACTATAGTACTGTCAATAGCACTATCTATTGAGGAACAAGAGAAGTATTTTGGCCGTTAGTAAATAGTTTATCACCAAATTTTTTGTTCTAAATTTCTTCAACAAATATGGAGAAATTTGAGAATATGCGGGTAAACAAGAAATAGTCGTAAAATACAGGAATGTTCCTTAAAAAACAGGAGACTTTTCAGGTATGATATTATAAAAATAATTTTATTATCGATCCATGTAACAAATAGTAAATAAATGTTACAGATACCGTGGAGAAGAACTAGGTGACTGTCCTGGAGTTCCAGTTGGTGAGGCATGGCGTGGAGGAACAGGTGGAGGTGCAGAATTCGGAGGCCTTCGGGAAGATTGAGGAGATGCTTTAGGAGAGACCATTGGAGAACGACTATTCGACTAAAAAACAAACAAAATATTCTTTAACTGTTTTTAAGTTTTTATTATTAATCGTAACAATTTTATGAACTTCATTCAAAATTATTTTAAGGCATAGTTGGCAAGTTTTAGGAAAGAATGGATTAATCTACGGTTTAAACCGTCCGGTCCAAAACTTTTTTATTCAAATTATGTCACAATTTAGAAAAAGATGAGAAAAATAAAAGGTTAATTTTTGAACAAGAAATAAAATGAAGACATGTTTTTGTTTTATAAAAAAAGTTTATCATTATTTTTAATATTGCATTAGTTATCCTCATGCAAAAACATAATTTATCAGCATTAAAAGCATATTTATTCATATTTAAAGGATAAGTTATTCTCTTTTGTTGTACAGTGAATTGTAAAGCTTCAAAAGTTATAAATCTTTTCCTTCAATAAATTAAAGAAAAGTGTATAAAAAGTATCAAATGTTTATTAATCTATGAATTATTAGGTGTACAATTGTTACACAAATAGAATTTTTACCCTTTTACCAATGTTAAAGGTTTTGGACACTTCAAGATAGTTTTAGTCAGTTTAGGACAGTTAAAGAAAGTAAAACCCATGTGTCTTATCCAAAACCAGTTTAGAATGTTCAAAATCCCAACTCTGTTTAAAGGCTATATTTAGACTTTTATTGTTCTATACTTAAAACATTTCTATGTTTTAGGCAAGCTATTGCTTTTCTGGCATAAACCTACACTTCAAAAGTCGGAACAACTTTAAAAATCATATATTTTAAAAAAAGTAATTTCTTATATGCTTAGTTATTCACATGCAACAGAAAGCAGATAAATTAAAGATCATTGACAACTGAAAGCAGCTAATTCAACATTACTGGTAATGCAATTAAATAGTAACTACACACTGAAAGGAATATGGGTATATTTGTTACTTTCAAAATCATTTGCATATAAATCAAAAAAGTATACTAAGGAAATTTAGTTACTGGCTTGAATTTGCATTTTTAATAATGCACAATTTTTAGAGCATGTGATGAGTTTTCCAAAAATATGAATCAATTAAAAAAAAACCGGTTAATATTAATAATGAAAGCATTTCTCAAAATATGGATAACACTGCATGGGTTATTTCTAAAATGAAGAAAAATATTAAGAAAAGAGCGTGAAATAAATTCATCTTTAGAATATTATAAAATATTCATAATTTCACAAAAATAATAAAATGCATATTTGGACCAATTTTGGCAAAAAATTAGCAAATCAGGTGGCAAATGGCTTGTAATTTTTTGATTGCCATTAGTTATATATAGTTGCCAACATAGATAGGAAAAAATCCAGTAGATTTTACGAAATACAAATTTCATGATAATTGTAGCAGAATGTACTAAATATTTTACACATAGGGAATTTTAGAGTCATCAAATTAGAAAAACTGCTATTTTCCAGTTAAGATCAACATTAAATATACTAGAAATTTTGTGTGTTACGTTTACACATAGTTTTGAATATTAATAGGCATTTAATTCATCAAAGATATTTAAAAGATTTTTTTAAATTTATTTACAAAGAAAATTCTGAATAAACTGAACATTTTAGACTGACCTGATTTCTAGAAATGAAGTTTGCTTTATTATATATTAGTAATACTTATTTAAATATTCAAGCAAGCAATAATCTGTACAAAAATACTATTTCAATCGGGATAATTTTTTTTTTAGAAAACTTACTAAATTTTAGGGAATTTTCTAAAATTTAAAAAAAACAGGAGAATTTTAATTAAGCCAGTAGATAGGGAGAAACTGGCAAAATCCAGTAGTCTACTGGAAAATGCAGTTGATTTGGCAGCTATGGTTATATTTAGGTTGAGGTGAACCTTAATTTTGCTATACACTAAAAAAAAATTAAATTTTTAGCTCCATCAAATTTTTAAATTAAATTTTAACAGTACTTTTAAATCCAGGTTTTTATTGACAAAATAACCACAATGAAAATCCAAATTATTTTTGCAAAAAAATTTTTTTCTTCCCTTTTTTAAGAAATTAAGACTCAATTTTTAGAAATTTTCTAATATGTACAAAAACCGGATTTTTAATTAAACCAGAGAAACTGAAAAAATCCAGTAGAGTTGGCAGCTATGCATATTATTTGAATTACATCAACCTTTGTTTAAAATAAATGTCATCAAAATCTGATCAGGAGATAATCAAATGAATCTAAAAATGTTCATAAATTTAAAAACCAGAATATTTGAAAACCAGAAACACAAACAAGATATGTTGTCAAATTTTTCAACAAAAAATAAGTACCTTTGAAGCATGCAAAAAATAATTTTAATCATTTTAATTTTAAATATATTCAATATATAATTTTAAATCTAATCATTCTATATCATTTTAAATCTATAATTTTATAAATTAATTATTACATAACACAATTATGTAAAAAAAAAATTATTGAAAATTATAATTATTTTATCTATTTTATCAAGTGTATTTTTTAGATATGAATAAAAGTTATTTATAAAAGGATATTCAACAAAACACTAGCAAGATTATAATTATTGATCATACCGAATTTATAAAGATATGTAAAGAATTAAGCAAACTAAGAAAACTTTAATTAATTCATATCACAAATGTAAATTAGTGAATGGCCTCAAAAAAATTTCTATTAAAATTTTTTACTTGATTCAGTATTTCTTCAATGAAATGCTTAAAATAGAACAATATGAACAATGTCTTTTTGCATAATTTGTTGCAAAAATCAACATGGTAAAGAAAAAAAATCTCACTTTAGAAAAGGAAAAATTAAGCACTTTTTAAAAATACCAAATGAAAATAAGCACCTTTAACCGCTTTCTTTACCAAGTTGTTTGGAGAGAAAAAAATGCAAAAAATCAACTTATTTTTTTTTTCTTTTATTAATAAATACCAGGAACTAAAACAAAACAAAATACAAATTTTTAGTTGGAATTTTAATTTTTTTTATGAGCAAAAAAACATTTAGTTCACCCTCAAAAATTACTATCCCGACTTATCTTGGGCAAATAAAATAAGTTTAACATTAGTCTTTATATGATAGTTTTTAAAAGAAGGGACAAAACAAAGTGATACTCTTCAAAGGCCAGTGAAGTGGCACGCTATTTTTTAACTCTTTTCTATATGTAGATGAAGCAACTGTCGTATATACAATCGAACAAAACACGTGTGCACCACAATCCAACTACAAAACTTGGCAAACTTCAAATCACAGCAGATTAATTAATCAATTTGATCTTTTCTTCTGGCCGAGTAAAAATGTGAAGGAAGAAAACATACTGATAGATTCTACTACACCCGAGTTTTCTTGGGTATTTGCTATATATCTGCTGAAATATTTGCTATATATCTGCACCCAAGTTAACTCAGGATAATCAGAAAAGCGGTTAAGGGCTTTTAAAAATTGAAAATAAGCACCTTTAAGCACTTTTTAAAAACTCTAAGCACCCTGCACAAAGCAATGAGGGGCCAACAAACTTTTGAAATTAATTGATACACTTACTCTACTCCCATCGGATACATCAGCACGAGGTGACAAGGCTAATGCTTGAAGACAAGAGGTCCACGTATTTGGATCCTAGAAAAAATTTCATTTAATAAACTTAACACCAGACATGAAAGACCACTATTTTAAATTGAATTAAATAATGGAGTTTGCAAATTACAAAGAAGTTTATTAATATAAATTTAATATTGAAAGTTAAAAGAGAAAAGAAAACTGTAAAAAATGAGATGAAAAATTTATTGAAAGCCAAATAACTAAGTTTTTTCTTCATTTAAGAAAATATATATATATATATATATATATATATTTATTTAAAGTAAAAAAAATTATAAGATTTGCCGAGAGTAGACTTAACATCACAAGTAGACAAGAGGTCCACGTATTTGGATCCTAGAAAAAATTTCATTTAATAAACTTAACATGTGATTTTACCAGACATGAAAGACCACTATTTTAAATTTAATTAAATAATGGAGTTTGCAAATTACAAAGAAGTTAATTAAAATAAATTTAATATTGAATGTTAAAAGAGAAAAGAAAACTGCAAAAAATTAAATGAAAAATTTATTGAAAGCTAAATAACTAAGTTTTTCTTCATTTAAATATATATATTTCTTTAAAGTAAAAAAAATTATAAGATTTGCAGAGAGTAGACTTAACATCACAAATAGACAAGAGGTCCACGTATTTGGATCCTAGAAAAATTCCATTTAATAAACTTAAGAAATGTTTTTACCAAACATGAAAGCTTATAACAATTTTAAATTAAATTAGACCGAGTTGCAAGTTTCAAAGAAATAAATTGATATAAATTTAATATTGATAGTTAAAAGAAGAAAAATAAATTACATAGAAATGAAATTAAAAATTTCTCCAAAACTATAACTGCATTTTAAAAAAAACAAAAGAGTTATTCAGAGTAATAAAATATAAGATTTGACTTAAAATCTAACATGCACTAAATATCTGGTTAAAAATGTTTCTCATTTTTTTAAGAAGAAAAACTTTGGAGAGAAGGTTTCTTTATGTAGCAAGGATGAGTTAGGTAAAGAACGAAAAAAGCTGAAATAAGAAATCCAAAAACTTTATGTGCAAAACCCTGAGGCAGAATTTTTTGAGGCTTTCTGAGACAAACTTCCCCAGTACTTTCTGCATGATACTTCTCTAGTAATTAACAATTACTAATTACAATTACTAACAGAAACATTGAGTTTACCAACAAAAAAAAAACACTAAGAATAAAACTGTATATAATTTTTTAATTGTAAATGTAATATTTTTTAATGTTACATAATGGGAATATTCTCACATTTTGTATTTGGAAAAGCAAATGAATTACTTTCTTTTTCAAATTTTGTAAATCATCATTACAATTACATCACTGTATTAAACAAAAATTATTAAAAATCCCAAAATACAGTAATTACTGAAGAAAAAAAAAGATCAAACGAAAACGAAATCACACTATTTTAAAAAGGAATCATGAAAATTCATGTTTTGTTTCTAGATTAGGTTGTTGCAATAAATATTGTATTAAAAATATCAGATTTGAAAAACTATGAGGAAATCAGTTGCAATAAATGCCAAAGAAAAAAAACATAGGATCATTGTTTCAAAAAGTAAATACTAAAATGCGCAATAAAATACCCATATGGTCTGAAATATAGTGGGATATATAAAAACCATGCTAAAATCAATAACTGAAAAACTGTTGAAACACCACATGAATTTGCCCCCTTATTGGCGCAAATTGGATAGGTTAAAAAATTATTATTTAAATGCATGATTCAAATTTCATATGCTAAAATCATATCAACTGAGAAATACCGGAATTTCAAAAACCACATGGAAATCAGAAGTACTAAAAAAACAGCAGCAAAGTTGAGGAAGAAAAAAACGATGAAATCATCACATTAAAAGTAAATAATCAAATGCTTGATTTGAATTAAGATAGTAACACAATGATATAAAAAGATATTGGGATTGTTATTTTCCTTTTTAAATGTGAAAATTCAAAACAAGAACCTTCATTTGAAATATTGCATAGATTCACGATGATATTGGTGCAAACAGAGTGCATTAAAGAATGATTTCTTGAATGCAAGATTTGAACATTGTGTGCCATAATTATATCAGTATTTTTTTTAACAAAATTAACAAGAAAATCCGTGGTAATGATTATAATGAATCCATGGTAACAACAGGATTTAAAAAAAAAAAAAAAAAGAAAAAAAAAAAAAAAAAAAAAAAAAAAAAAAAAAAAAAAAAAAAAAAAAAAAAAAAA